CTGCCCACGCTGCTTTGGATACAGCCCAGGATACGGCGGGCTTTCTGGGGTGCCAGCGCATGGTGCCGGCTCATGGTGAGCTTCTTGTCAACCAGCACCCCCAAGTCCTTCTCCTCCTTCACCAGGGTTCCACACACTGGCCTCCAGCACAGCAAGCGGACCCACCTTCAGTCCCTCTCCTGGTACTCCCAGACCCTGCCGTGCCTTTGAAGGAGGGACTGCTTTGCAGTTGGTGTTACCCTGCCACAATCTCCAGGTCTAGCAGAGTGACCTGCCCACCAGTGCCCCATGGCAGGTCACACTGTCATGGGCTGCTCTTAGTGCCCTGTGAAGGCACTGCTGGCAGCAAAGGCAGCAAGAAGCTCCTGGACAAGAGCCATGAGTGCCTCCGGGAGCTCAAGCCTCAACGGTCTGCTCTTCCCATGGTTTCCCCTGCTTCGGTCTGGTCCCAAAGGTCCCGCCGCAAGGGTGGACCTCTGTGAACTGCCCATGTGGCAGTTTCTTACTGGTGGAGCAGAGATGTCATTAGGAAAAGCTGTTAGCTGCAGCCCTCATCCCAGGATTCTCCTCGGTGCCTAGTGCTGCCTTTACATGGACTTCATCCTTCCCTTCCTTGCCTGCAGCCCCTCTCCTTCCCTCTCCACCTCCAGCCCCTCCACTCGAGCCCTCCCCGGGGCCTCGAGGAGCCTCTCCCTCACCCTCCTGGCACTGCCTGTTTCATCTGTCCATCCCCATCTGCTCTGGCCCACGACAACGCAGGGGCTTGGCTTCTTCACGTGCACAGCCCCAAGCTCGAGGAAAACCAGAAGTGACAGCGCTGCCCAGCTCAGGGACCTGCCGAGGACATGGCACCCAGCTGAGCTCCCTGCCAGCCTGGCATGGAAGCTTTGCTGCCCCACATCTTCTTCTGATCACCACCAGCCCACACCAATGGCACTCACGGCTGCCCTGGCGCCGGCTCCACAGCCCTGGCCTCTCCAGAACCTGCCTGGCAGTGAGCTCCGAAGGAGCAGGGCTGGGGAAGACCCGGGGCTCAGTCCTCACCCTGCACACGTGTCCTGCGGGCAGCCACTGCGGGAGGGAGGTGGGCAGATGCCACAGACCCTGGGACGCCCATTCTGGTGACTGTTTCCAGGAAAGTGCCCTCAAGAAGTTCTACCAAATTGGTGTTTTCTAACAAGGAAAGATTTTGCTGAAAAATTCCCAGTTGGCTCCTGCACCAATCCCGTTTACAGTAGAAATATATTCATCCTATGGATTATTTACAGCACACGAGGAGGGCCTGGCTCCAGTCAATAGACCTGCTTTGTACAGGGCTCTCCAAAACCACTTATTCTTGCCAGTCCCTGACAATAACCCAAATGCCGCCGGTGCTGTTGAGACCTGCTCTGCTCTCTGCACACAATCTCAATTAAAAAGAAATCAAGAGCTAAGAAACCAGAGCTTCTGGCCAAGCTGCTAGCTAAAAGGATGAGGAGTTACCGGAGGAGAGGCCAAGACTCTCCAGTCCTCTTCTGGATCTGGGGTCTCACAGGGCCTCATCCCCAAAAGGGCACTCGCCTGTCCCATCCCTGCGTGGCCAGAGAGCTCATCCCGGCCTCCCAACTGGCACATCCGGCCTTCAGCATGA